AAGAAACATCATAAAAAATACAAAACCTCGAAATCTAAGTTGAAATAATTAACCGCTAAGAAACATCATAAAAAATACAAAACCTCGAAATCTAAGTTAAAATAATTAACCAGTTTCAAGAACCATCGATACAAAAACAGAGTCCTTCTGTTAAGTTAAGATAATTAATCAATGTTTAAAAAACATTACTGTAAGAAATTGTCATTGAAACCTAGAAAACTATATGATAGTGTCCTTCTGACTATTCAAAATAATTAATCGCTATAAAAACTAAATTTAAAACCTTGAAAGCTGTATGACACTATGCCCCTGCTAAGTTAAAACAATTAACCTATGCTTCAAGAAGCATTACTTTAAAATATATTTTCATTTACACCTATAAAACTGTATGATAGTGTCCTTTTGCTAAGTTAAGATAATTAATTGATGTTCAGAAAAAAGGTTACTATTAAAATTGTCACTAAAGCCTAGAAAGCCAGATGACAGTGTCCTTGTGCTAAGTTAAAATATTTAACCGAATGTTCAAAAAACAATACTATATAAATTGTAACTAAAACCTGGAAAGCTATATTACTGCGTCCTTTTACTAAATTTAAAATCATTAACCAGTTTCAAGAACCACCATTGCAAAAAACTTATCACTAAAACCTAGAAAGCAATATGACAGCGTCCTTCTACTAAGTTGAAATAATTAACTGATGTTTCAAGAAACATTATCATAAAAAACATTTGTCACTAAAACATAGAAAGCTAGATGACACTGTCCTTCTGTTAAGTTAAGATAACACAGGTCTGGGATGGTTTTACTGTTTTTGAAATTTTTACTTGTTCTACAGTAATTTCTGTACGCTGAATCCGAAAATGATATTAATTTTTTTTTCACCACGTGCAGGTATTTCACAAAATGTCATAACGCAATACATAAAAGAAAGACTACAACACGTACTTTCGAGACTAAAAAACGTAGATTTCACAACAAACAAAATCAGAATGACATCAATGTTCTTACCTTTTCTTCAGTTTGTTTGTATTTTTGTTAATAATCTTAATTATAAAAATGTTCACTGTGGTAAACGAAATAATAATTTGATCTAAGTAAGAGTTTTGTTTTTTTCCTGATTTGGAAAAAATCCTTACGTGACAGAAAAAAAAATGGATATTATTTTCAAAATCTGGGTAGCTGGATTATAAAAACCAAAACAACTTTTATGAAGTTTAAATTCGCAAGCCTGTGTAATTAATCGATGTTGCTAGGTTAAAACAATTATCCGATATTTAAAGAAACCTTAGAAAGCTATATAGCATCGTCCTTCTTTCGAGTTGGAATAATTAACCGACGTTTCAAGAAACATCGTTATCAGAGAACTAAATCTAAAACGTAGCAAGCTGTATGACAGCATCCTTCTGCTAAGATAAACTAATTATCGATGTTTCAAGAAATATTACTATAAAACAATTGCCACTAAAACCTAAAATCTATATAACAGCGTCCTTCTGCTAAGTGAAAATAGTTAACTGGTTTTTCAAGGAAACACCACTATAAAAAATAACTGTCACTAAAACCTTGAAATTATATGACAGTGTCCTTCTACTAAATTAAAACAATTAACCGACGTTTGAAGAAACATCAATATAAAAAGTGTCACTAAAACCTAGTGTCCGTCTGCTGTGCTAAAATATCTAATGGATGTGTAAAGAAACATCAATATAAAAAGTTGTCAGTGAAACCTTGAAAGCTATATGACAGTGTCCTTCTGCTAAGTACAAGTTGTTAACTAGTTTATCAAGAAAAGTCAATGTAAAAGAACTGTTAGTTAAACCATGAAACTATATGACTGCGTCCTTCTGCTAAAATCAAATAGTTAACTTGGTGTTATATGGAGGATGGTGATAAAATAAAGGTTTTATTTTTACAATAAGTACTTCGTAAGTTTTCGTCTCATCATCATTCTAATTCGTCACCCAATGTTTCAAGTAGACGACAGTTGAAAGAAGTTACTTTGTGGGATTGTTAACACTCGCGAGTGTTGCAACTAATTCCACCAATATTGAAGAAAAAGATAAAGCATTTTTGATATTCTAAATGTTATGTTTGTAACTCTACATCGAAGGTGTCGTGATAATCGTTATTAGTAGAACAGGCTTTCATATTTTGGTTTACGATGTGTTTTTGTTAGTTTTTTATGCCGCTTAGTAAGCATGCTGTACGTTCTTTACACGACTAATAAATTTGATCTGCTAATGTGTTGATCGTTACAAATAATTAACTTTGATTTGTGTTTACCCTGTCATTTGGTCTGAATTAATTAACAACGAATAACTCCAGCTATACATCAACATACGTACTCTATATTTATATTTACAAAGACATATACATAGCCAGTGATCTTATTGATATAACCTGATGCCGAAAGGGTGTACGTTACAAAACCCATTCCACAAGCAATGAAAGCAAAGTTTCTCTCTAAACCCCAGCTCTGTAACAGTGGAATTCTTATGTCACATTACTTTCTGCTTCTCTCAAAGTCTACTATCATAACACATTAAAGTTTTTTTTATCATATTTGTGTTTATACAGGAGGTCAAACATTTAAGTTCAAATTTAATCTTCCTTAAAGAAATTACTAGTTTAAAACTGAATAGCAAACTTGACAAATACAGGTAATTTCTACAACATTGTTTACAGAGGCCAAAAGTTAATTGTTCATCTTCACCATGCCGTTGCAAGTAAATAGCAATTTGAGAAACAACACAACCATTTCAGGTTTAGAAAAGAGAGCGCTAATATTGGCTCTTAATACTCCATCATTACATATAACTTTGTTCGTGACGGTTTTTTTTTTCGAGTACTAGACTTGTGAGTTTTTAGAGTTTCTTGAAGATGGAATTTGTGAATTACTGCAGCGTCACGCTGGACTGTAAAAAATTCTCAATTTGCTATTGAGATTCACTTTACTGAAGTGCCTTCCTCGGGCATACGAAACATAGTTTAATCTTCAGGACCTATAAGATTACGTGCCGATCACTCTGATAAGGTTATCTTTCAAGTAATCGAAAAGTTAACAAAATTCCACGATTAACCATCTTCTGGAGGTTAGTTTTTTAAAAATTAACGCCCGGCTAAAGAAGCCCGATTCAGTGATAGTTCCAGAGTTGCAAGTCTGCTGACACGCAGAGTCTAGATCTGTTCGGATCTTTAAGGCACTACTCGGGGACTTGTGAGCGACATCCAGCATCACCACCATCGTGCTTGATGAATCAGAGGATGTGTGTAAGTCGGTATCATGTTCATGTTGAAAGTACCCATCCCCGTGGCTGCCATGTTTGCCATGGACGTCAACTCGGCAGGAGACAGACAAAGACTCATCCCAGGTTGGATGGCTTGTGTTGTCGAGTCAGTCTTCACCAAGCCGCTGCCCATCGGCGGCTGGCAGGGCTTCCCGTCCCGAACGAGAACAGGCACAGCGACGCGGCGTGGAGAAGGAAGAGGATGCGTGTCCAGTCCTTTTTCTTGTCTCGCTCTCTTTGTTTTGTAGCGATGGTTTTGGAACCAAATCTTTACCTGTGTAGGAGTCAGACGAATGATGCTAGCAAGGTGTTCCCTCTCGGGTGCTGATAGATACCGTTGCTGTCGAAATCTCCTTTCCAACTCGTACGTCTGCGCTTTTGAGAATAGAACGCGACGTTTACGTTTTTTTGGAGGCTGATCTGATGAGTGTTCGGTATTGTCAGTTTTCTTATCACCGGTAGCATTGTCAGTGGAAACTTCTGTGACTGCTAGAGACTCCGAACTCAGACCTTGGTTGCTCTCAGACTGAATATCAACGCTGTTACACCTGGAAATGTCGGAAGCTGCTCCGCCAAACTCACTTTCCGACTCCTCAGCGACGGCCTGCGTTGTATAGGCTTCACTAATTGTCGGAGATACGCTTAACCTGGTAGAAACATCGTCATTATCGGTCGGAACACCTGCTTGGCCCAGCCTTTCCAGTACTGAAGCTGATCCTTTGCCGGCTACAGTGTGCGGAACGAGAGCCGAGGAGGCCTTATGCGGTGACACGGTACCAACTGGGGCCTCTGTCGAGGACATGATCGAATGGTCCGGATGACTGAGATGTGGTGCAGATGAAGAGGAGGTGACAGATTCTAGACCTAGCTGACCTAATCCTGAAAATAGGAACAAGATCCATTTAATTAAATAATAATAAAGATTTGTATATCTAAATGCGAATTTTGATACTACGTTTATTATAGTATTTGTTGAATGTTTTAGGATGGGAAATAATATTAACATATCATCGAGTCTTTTCTCCAATACTTTAACGTGATAAAACGTTTAGTAAAAACACCTTGTCACAGTGTCATTTTAGAACAACGTACTAATTTGCAAGCATTTTCTACAACAGATTCGAGAGAGTTACTTTTTCTACACCAATTAGTGCGTCAGTACAAACTCGCGTTCAGATTCCTCAAACAAATCATATTGACTAATACCGCTACATTTAATCCATTGTATATTATTATACTTATAAAAAGTGTAAGAATCATGTAAGGAATAAGGATGGCATAAAATAAGTCAGTTGACTGCTTCTTTACATATAAATGTAGGTGCTGTGTGTGTATTTATATAGTCGTGACACGTCTAATATACATCTCATAAACACAAAACAAACATGTAATTAGTTTCATAACACACGCAAAGTTCTATACAAAAGTATAAAACATCCCTTCAACTGTTTTTATAAAATTCGTTATATTTATCTTTAATTCTGTAAAATATTTATTTCTTATAATCAAGACATTAACTCTAATTGATGTAGATTTTACTAGTAAAACTGTTCTTATATTTCTATCTTCTCAGAGTACTAGTTAAAACTACCACTTTGGTAAATTCCAATAAACAGATATTTTGTTTTCTAAAGTTGGTTTAAAGTTACATCTCAGCCCAAAGCTTAAAATGTTACAGAAAAGAAGATGAATGAATATTGTTATATGACCTTTGAGTAATGTTTTGAGTATTATATAGCTTTTGTTCAACGTTTCTCAATGTTATATGACCTTTTAGCAAAGTTTCTAGATCTTATATGACTTCGTTCAACGTTTTAGAATGCCATATAACCTTTCATAAGACTTTTGAATTTTATATGACGTTTCTTAATGTTAACTGGCTTTTAATCAATGTTTCTGGTTACTATATGACCTTTAAGCAATGTAGCTAAATGTTATATAACCATTCATCAAATTTGTTATGTTTGTTTGTTTTGAATTTATGCACAAAGCTACACAAAGGGCTATCTGTGCTCTGCCCACCACGGGTATCGAAACCCGGTTTCTAGCGTTGTAAGTCCGCAGACATACCGCTGTGCCACTGGGGGCTAGTTGTAATGTTACTGTTCAACGTTTCTGAATGCTATATGGCGTTTGGTCAAAATTTTTGAATGTTATGTGACTTTTATCAACGTTCCTGAATATCAAGTAATTTTTTATCAAAATTTCTAAATTAATCCTTTGTTCCAGTTTGAATGGGTTAACTTAATTTCGCTTTACTTTTTACGAGAAACCCAAAACTTTACGTCAAGTTGAAAGCTTAAATTTAATGCTTTAGAAAATAATTTATTTAGATTCAATATTAAGAAAAAATAATTAACAGCACACAGTACCGCATCAAAAAAAGTATCACATCATCAACAGAAAGGAAACGTCTATGCTCGCATGTTGTGCATGGCATTAGAAACACACGTAAATGCCTGGGAGGTCATATATTGTGCAGTATAAAAAAATAGTATAAATGTATTATATGATGCTTCTAAAAAATTGAAAATATATATATGTAAATAGAGAGCAAATAAAACAGTTATTTAAACAAAGATCGCATATACTCTCATGTTTTCTGAATATTTTAATCCCTAAAAGTCTGAGACTAGTTATCGGTATTGGTTTTTCATCAACACGAGTAATCGGCATGCTGTAATATCAAGCATGACTTGTGGGTTTCACATACTAAATCACACTGGTAAATTGTACGTTTTTACCTGTTACAGCGCTCAATGTAAAGAAATTATAACATTAATTAGATAAAATCATTATTTTTTATTTTAATGGGATTAATTGCAATAGTCATGTTTTTTAAACCTGTTGTGTATGGCTCAAGGAAGTAATGGACTCACAAGCATCTTGACGCATATATAATTTATAAAGATTTGTTTAAAAAGCGGACTCTATCGGAAAGGGTTAAGACTATTCTTTGAAATGTAATACATAATGTTATAATTGTAATTAAAAACAAAAATGTAGTTCACAGCAGAATGTACATATAAAAGTTTAATCATCTATACAAGTGTTTTACATTACTACAACGTGTATCACTATGGTAATTTCAGTAGTATATTTGTGTCTTTAACAGTAAATATTAGAATCGTAGACCAGCGGTTTGCAGTAGTTAGTCCGCAGTAACATCTGTTGAAAAAAAAAAAAAAAAAAAAAAA